TTTATAATATAGTCTAGTTGATTAAGTGTCTTTTTTGAAAAGAATATAGTCTTTTTTGATTAAGCGTCTTTTTATAATATAGTCTATTTTGAAAAGAATATCTATATAAGCATCAAATGAATGATCAAAATTCTTTAATTTTTCAACTACCAAATGTGTTACTGTCCACAATTCAACAATGAATTGCTGGATTAAAGCAGTTTTAAAGCTCTACGTCCTTAATTATCACCTTTGCTGCCCTAAACCATATATCTTGAAATTTGAAGGGTAAGACTAATAAAAATGTATATTCAAAGGGGTATCCTTATACTTTCGTAAAAGTTTTAGGATGCAAGTAAAGTGTACTTATTGTACGGACGTAAGTAAACATTTTAAATGTTTTAAGGGGATGTTAAAGGATTTTCAAAATTTTGGGGAACAGAATCTTATTTTTGCTAGCGCATAAGTGATCATTTTCATTTTTTTGAAAGGGTGTAAAAGGATGTCTTAAATTTTGGGGGGCAGGCAGCGGCCCCTCCTTTAATCTACTTCCTCCTCTCCCGCAAGTATTTTTGTAGTCCGGGAGATTCATCTTTAATCAATGTGTATACATCCAAAAACAGGCGTAAATGTTTATAGATGGACAAAATGAATGCTTTTGAAGGGCGATGTTCATATGTTTATTCTGAGCATATTCACTTCTACTCTCCTAAAAAAAGGAGGCAATAACTCCTAACACGACACTACTAACGAACGTTGAGATCCTATGAGATCCCAAGCTTAAATCTAGGACTGAACGATGAACCAACCTACTTGTTATTCGAATGAAATTCGACTTGATAACTGCTCGTTCGAGTTTGATTTGCCAACTGGTTAAACCAAATTTGAATAGCATTTTATATTTGATAATTTTCAAACTTAATGGAAAGTTTGTTTAAATTCGGTTTGATAAATAAACAAATTAAACTTGTTAAAATAATCAAACAAACTGGAACATTAGAGTATTCAGTTTGATTAGACTTGCTTAGACCCTTATTTAAACCTTAGCAAGCTCTTTGGACCCTAAAATAGTCCCCTTCTCCAAGCAACTATTTTTGGGGCGAAAGTGTTTACAATTACAAGTTGAAATCCATTCCAAGTTTCCCAACCAATTAAGATGGAAATCCATTACCGTCGAAACAAGGCATCACCATGCATGGAGAAACTCCAAAAACCTGACTTGGTGGGGAGCATTCCCGCGCGGAACAAGCAAAGGGGTTTTGCTCACGCAAAAATCATGCGCCTTGACGTACGGAATGGGAAAAGGAATATCCTTATACCTCGTCTCTACGGAACAAATTGACGGAAACCCGTCGCGTTTCGCCATAAACAAACAGCTTAGCCAAATAATTGAACAAAAAGAATAAGTTAAGAAGTTGCTATTTGCTAAATAAATTCTCTCCTTCCTTTAATTTCGTGCATTAAAGGGGGGAAAAAGGGCCTGTCTCACCCATATAAGGTAGAAAAGTGTGGATAGACCTAATTTGCAGGACCCATTGCCTTCTTATTAATCATGATTAGTCGGAAAAAGAAAAGTTTGTAGATCAATTATGGGGCCAAGATGTTGATTTGCGATACTTGATTGAACCTTTTAACCATTATTAGACATCATAAGTTTATATTAGGAAATAGTTTTTGCTTTAGCATTATTTGGTTCACGTCTATCCAAGAAACAATTGGACCGAAAATCTTCTCATTCATACACTTTTTAATTTTAATGCATAAGACCCCCCTACAATGAAACATATTAAGTAGTTAATAATACGATTAATGATTTTTCTTGATCATACTCATCAAAATCATGGGCTAGCTAGGATTTTTTTTTTAAAAAAAATTTATACCTTTAACTCTAGACCTTTAGTCAAGCATTTCTTTAATTTTTTTATTTCGCGTTTTACCAAAAAAAAAAAAGAAAGAAAATGCTCATTCAGTTAATTGGAGTCTTAGAGGTTATTGAGTCTTGATTATGACATTAATTTTTGGAATTATAAGGTCAATTTTGGTCCTAGGATGACATTATTGTGTTTTAATTCCTTCTAGATCACCCTTTCGCTTTCAAAAGTTTACTTTTTAATTATTATGTTTAGGTAAGTTAATAATAACCAAAACCCATGTTCACAAATTTTAATTGCTTGTTTCCAAACAAATCCTTCCAAAAATCAATTATTCGTTCTAAGATGCTAATGATTCTCTAGATTGCGCCAAAATGTTGATATATTGCACTTGAAAACAATTCCTTTTCTTCTGGACTGGCCAAAGATAATTTCTTAATCCTTCCACTTCAATCCACCCGAAAAGAATCCGTTATGCGCAAATAAATAAATGAATAACGGTTTTGTCTAATGAACACTCATTAAAATATATTCCAGGTGTTATATTTTTAAAAATATAAAAAAAATTAAAAAAGTAAATAACTATAAGAAAGGGTAGACAAGATTAAATAAGGAAAGTATATAAATGCAAGAAAAGATAATAACTATTAGTACGTGTGTGTATATATATATATATGATAGATTATCGAATCAATAAATAAAGTCCAAAATTCACCAGAAATGGGTCATTGGAGGAATACCAAATTAACGAGTTTATATCTAACGATGGATTTACGGCTAGCTAGTTGACTAACATAAAGATTGATTAAAAAGGCAAAAAAAAAAAACAGATTGGTTAGCAAATTCAGATAATTGACTCTTAAGAAAGTTAACCGAAATTTAGTTAAAAAAAGCTATTAAATGCTATTCCCTGTAAGATCCAAAAGGGATTAATACACACTAAGGTTTCGTCAACTGGAAATTGATTCCCCATCTCAGTAACAAAACTTTTTTGCTCGTTGTTTAGCTTATTGTCAATGAATATCAGTAACATAAATTCAAAAAATGATGTATGTTTTTTTTTTTTTTGCTTTTGGAAAAAAACATTTTGTTGACGAAAATTATTTTTCTTTTATAAACGTCCTTATTTCATTTCATTTATTGAAACCTATACTAATAACAGAAAATTTGACAAAAGCCAAACTTGTTAAACTATTCTCTCGTGCAATCCTTTATATAAACTTAAAACTCATCAAATTATGAATTTCGAAGACCATAAGCGAGAGCGTCATCATAATTCTTTTTTTCCATAAACTGTCTCGTTTCAGCAGTATCATCGAATTTCCGGAAAATCTTTTACGTGTTGCATTCGACAAAGAACATGAAATTAATTTCTACACTAAGAATCATGTTTGAAAAGATTAAACTATTTAAGAACATGATATTATATTAAACCACTGCAGAAAAAGTTATACGTTGCATGTACCTACAGCAGTTGGAAGTTGGAACATGCGGAGAGTGATTAAACAACTTATGTATATTACAAGGAAATAGTGAATAGTAATGATCTTAGTGTTCAGTTTAGTGCTCGACCTTTGAGGAACAGTTATCAAGACGTAGAATGGATTAATTCCAATCTACTGTATTAGTAGCACAATGTAAGTATCGAACATTTGCTCGTTTGTGATTACTTTTATCTCAAATAATATAATCCTACCGTTTCGTCACTTAGACTGAATAAATGGGATTCTATGTATTATTTTTTAAAGAAAAAAGGAGTAAAATTAGATTGAATAAATTTTAAAATGTAATTGGAAACAATTAATGAATGTGAGCATAACCATTTTAGATGATAAAACAACAGAAGTTAAAGAAGTCCAAATAAAAAAAAAGTTAACAAAGAACGGCCAAGGAGGAGTATAACAACCACTCTTTCATAAAAAGGTTGAATGAAAGTTGAAAAAATTGTAGGTATAAAGTTGAAAAAGCATGCAAGCATCTTCCAAATTCTTAAGTCTCTCCGCACCAAACTTTGCTCATTTGCACAGCCCATCCCATCTGCCGTCCCACACTGCAAAAGTGCCTAACTATCCTCTAAAATTACAAATGGACCACAACACAACTCATTTTTCAACATTGATTTCAACAATTTACTCCTTATTTAATTCCATATGTTCCCTATTCGTGGGTAAGTATCCATATTATATAGTGAGGTTCAAATCCGATTTTAGTCTCCTGAATTGGAACTCCCAAGCATATCACCACCTAGCATGTCGCCATTCTGTGTGGAGTCTTAATTAGTAAGTGCATTTGACTTCATTGACTCTCTTCGCACCTCCCACGTTCATGTAATTATCTTTAAATTTTCGAATTATTCATTACTAAATACAATCAAGGTCTTAAAAAATAGCTAGTTTATGACATACGTTGCTTCTAATACTAGTATATGTAAAGCTTTATCGTACAAATCAATGAATCAAGATACAAATATTTAAATATTAGTATGTAATGCGAGTTAATTATCAACTGTACTAGTTATACTCAGTGATTTAACGACACATTCGACTAATTAATTTGCCATATATGTAGATCAACCCGAATCTCAACTACATGTTGAATTTTACTTGTTCTGTTTTGCAACAAATTGAGAGATCATTTATTTTATATGATTAATCTTTTATAAACTGACAGTGTATACTCTCTTATTATTGAGTGCATGACAGCTCATTTTAATTTAAATTTTGATCATGTGCCACATATTCAACTGTAATAGTGTATACATTATTAGTGTATATAAAATTAGCTCTATTTCATATTATACATAAGTGAGTCAAAATAACACGTCGAGAAAGCTTTAGTTTAGTATCTAGAATTAAGACAATAAAAAATAGAGGTATTGGATAAAATTTCTTCTACCTTTCTTTAAATCATACCCTTCTCTTGCTTCACAATTCAAGATAACAAATTTGAAGAAATTTTAACTCCTCCAACTGAAGAAATTAACAAATTTGATTATTATTGGCAATAGCTGAAGAAACAAGAAAAGTAACTCCTCCAACTGTAATTCTTTAAATCTTAAAATTTTCCTTCTGGGGTCAAACCCTAATTATTGTGAGTTCGAAAGCTACTTACATTCCTCTCGGTTTCGTTTCCTCTCTCCTTTTCTCTCTCACGCACGCACACACACACAGAGCAGACACACACTTTCTCTGCGTACATTCATCAGTCTTATGCTCTATAAATTCACATGTATGACACTACTATTATTCTACTTCCTTTTCTGTAATTAAATAGAGAAATTAATTAATTACCACATAACTGTATGTACATACACGTATTTATATAGCTCTCATAAGTGTGTGTTGTGGGTGTGAAGAAGATCTAAACTCATCAATCAAAAGGGTCACTTTCCTTGCCTCTATCATTTCCTAACGGTACGTCACTCAATTTTTTAAATTTTGTGTATATTTTTCTTTGAATTTAGTTACATTAAAATGGGTTTTATTTATGATAGCGGTGCATTAAGATCTGTTGAGTGATCTGAATAGGATTTAGATCTGATTTTGGAACAATGCAATTGTACTTAATTTTGGGGGTATTGGGGATTTTGGAACACTTTTAGTGATGTTGATTTAGGAGTTTATGGATCTGTTGATTGAGTGGTGCAATTATACTGTGCCATTGATCTGTTAAGTTAATCTCACTCTGGTTTTTTGACTAATTAGCTGTTTCGCGTACTAATTAGGGTCTTTTTTAATAATTAAAAAAAGAACTTTTGAATTTGGTTGGTAATTACAGATTCTGGTTGCTGAATTATTGTCAATTGCCCACTTTGGTAGAGTTTAAATGCAATGAAGAGGATTCCATTTTTGGAGTGAAGAAAGAAATTTCTGTATAACTATTGGTTCTGACACTGTTTTGGGTTTTAAGGGGCAATAGATTTAGGGTCGAATTCAGTTTAAAAATTAAGTTTTGCTAATGCTTTGTTTGCAATCTTGAACAAATTTCAGGTGTGGAAGCTGGAAGGATTGAAAAGGTGGTTCTTTGAGCTTTAATGCGGGCTGTTAGGGGATTTGCTCTGGTGCTCGAGAGTTAGCAGGTCTCGTGTCACCAGTTGTTGTAGAGGGAAAAGAAAATGGCTCCAGCTAGCAAGGCAGATAAGAAGGCTGCAGTTGACGCAGCAGCATGGCTGTTCAATGTAGTGACGTCAGTTGGGATTATCATTGTCAATAAAGCCTTAATGGCTACATATGGTTTTAGTTTTGGTAAAGTTTTCATCTTTGTCTTTGTCTTACCATTTTGGTTCTCCAATTTCTAGACTTTTAGCAAAATCCTTTTGGTAGTGAGTGAAGTTAGCTATATGTTTATACTATAGATGCATCTAATTATGATTGCCTTGTCCGTAACTGGCTAGAATATGGTGAAGCAAAATAATATCTATGAACTGTGTTTAATTGGCGATTGAAGTCATTTCACTGGTGCTCTTTAATCTTTTGTTATTAACATTCTCCTTCGTTTTCATGTAAACAATGTCACAGCATTCTATGTTTTGGAACAATGTAATAGAAACTGGTATGATTTAGTTTATTTTGTGAAGATCTTAAGCCCAAAGTCAATGTCTCGCTATCCTGTGTGAGTGAATAAAACAAACCCCAAGCACTGACTTAACTATTGCCTACTCCCTATTGCCTTCTTTGGACGCATGAACTCATAAGTTGTTTGATTGCACTGACCCTTTTCTTTTTAAATGGTTGTTCTGGCTCTTAATTGGTACAATCTGTGCAGCTACAACATTAACTGGTATGCATTTTGCTACTACAACATTGATGACGGCTGTACTTAGGTGGCTGGGTTACATCCAATCTTCACATCTACCTTTTCCAGAGCTTCTGAAATTTGTCCTATTCGCAAACTTCTCAATTGTGGGAATGAATGTCAGTTTGATGTGGAACTCCGTAGGATTCTATCAGGTATTTGTGATTAGCTCCATTTTGGAGACTGTTCACTGATAACTTTACTGTACGTTGGAGATGACCTCTGATAATTGACTGAATGACATAAATTTTGTTCTTGTCAGATAGCAAAGCTGAGTATGATCCCTGTTTCCTGCTTATTGGAAGTTGTATTTGACAAAATTCGATATTCAAGAGATACAAAACTCAGCATTGCTCTTGTCCTCCTGGGTGTTGGCGTCTGCACAGTCACTGATGTTAGTGTCAACACTAAAGGATTTGTTGCTGCCTTTATTGCAGTTTGGAGTACTTCTCTGCAACAGTATGTAAGTTGTTTATTCCTCTGCTCAATTCTGTATGTAAGGTTGTATGATGTCTTGATCGTTCATCTGGTTAATGCAACATTAGATCATGCAGTCCTCATGATTATCAGTCCTGGTGATATGATGAAAGGTTTATTAAAGAGTAAAAAAAAAAAAAATTTAATGCAATTCGTCTATTATAGTTAGTAGATGCCCTACTAATATCCTACACCAGATGCATAAAGCATGTGACATCTCTTTGCTCCCCTGTCCATCTGAAAATTTTTCTGAAGAAATGCAGAGTACAAATCCTACAATTTTATGTAATTAACCCCCACAATTATGTATTTTTAAAGTTGTTTTTGGTGCTTATAGTTATATTATTTATATTTAAAAGAAAAAAATACTGTTTGGTGCTTAATCTTTTATTTGTGCATCTGAAATGCTTGGAACCTCAGGTTAATCTAAGAACTTGACTTTCTTATGCAGTATGTTCATTTCCTTCAACGGAAATACTCTCTTAGCTCATTCAATCTTCTAGGACATACAGCACCAGCCCAGGCTGCATCTTTGCTGCTAGTAGGCCCATTTCTAGATTATTGGCTGACAAACAAGAGGATTGATGCCTTTAACTTCACTGTACCGTCTTTGGTAAGTCTTTGTGCCCGATGCTCAATATTAACTGTGATCATCCTAGTTTCTCCTATGGTTATACTTATCTTACATTTTCCTTCTTAATTAGATGATAAATATGTGCTTTAATCTTCGGAACCTTGGAAGTCGCATTGCTGCTGATGCATCTAATTTTGCTTATTGTACTCAACTTTTGGCATGCTATACAAATGGTAATTTCATGCTGGAACAGGTTTGATTGCACTAAAAGTATGATATACTGGAAATGAGCTACTGGTAATAGTTCACTGTTTGCAAAATAGTGCATCATGCCCTGCTAAAAAACCTTTTGTATATCTTGCCCGATGTCTGTTCAATATTTTCCACATGTTCAACCCCTTTTTTGTTTTACAGACCTGTATTTCACCACATGTCATGCTTAGAAGGAAAAAGAATTCTGCCATATATGATGAACTCTTATTTGTTTTTAGAGTTTGTAATACGTTTGTAAATTGTTATATGACATAGGATAGTGGATTCACAGACTTATAGGAGTGACAGATCTGCACAAGATGTTGACATGATGAGCTGTCCCATTTTAATTTTGCCAACTGTGGGAAAGATACATAATTTATTTGTTTATTTTTTAAATTTTCAAACTTCTTTTCTTTTTCCCTTCATATTTTTTGAATATAATAGCATGGTTTGTGGATAGCCAGGCACACTGCTTTTTCTGCTCTTAGTCACGCACACTACTTTTTCTGCTCTTATTCTCATTCTGTTTGTCTGTTTGATCTTAACTTCTTTTTAATGGCATTTTAATTTGTAAACCTTATAATTGTTGTCACATTTATTTGTCCCAATTACAGCTTTTTTTTCCCTTTAATTTGTTTATCATAACATAAGGATGCCTTTTCTTGAGGTGCTTGTTCATTTTAAAGTGTTTCCTCACACTATTTTGTCTTTGGGCTTCTTCTCAGGTGTTTATAGTCCTTTCATGCACTATTGCAGTTGGAACAAATCTGAGCCAGTTCATCTGCATTGGCAGATTTACTGCTGTCTCATTCCAGGTTCTTGGCCATATGAAAACCATTCTCGTTTTGATCCTGGGGTTCTTATTTTTCGGGAAAGAGGGTCTTAATTTACATGTGGTCATTGGCATGATTATTGCTGTCGTTGGAATGGTATGGTATGGCAATGCTTCTTCCAAACCAGGTGGAAAGGAGCGTCACAGTCATTCATCTCGAAGCAGCCAGCAGAAGCATGGTTCAGAATCTTCTGAAATTGATGAGAAAGTCTGAGCGTTTTCTTCTTTGCAAATTGAGTATACAAGGATAGCCCATACAGAGAATTTTTCAGTCGTCTGACTCTAGATACACAAGTCTAAAATCCATCATTGTGTAGTGTTTTCTGAATTTTGTAATTCTTATATATTTCTTAATGATGTCAAAGTCCCTTGAAGCTTGTAAGGGATACTTGGTAGAGGGCTTAGATCACCCCTGGATCTTCCTGTTTTGATTGCTGATCATAATTTATAGAAATTATTTTTTCTTGGTGCCAATACATATTTCCTCTCGATTGCATATTCCTGAGACTTGTCATTATTTCTATTACAAAGGTGCGCAGATTTTGTTAGCTTGAACTTGAAAGTTATACTTAGCAGCCGTCAAATATAAAGCATTGAAAGTTAATGAACTGTGCAAGGAAGAGATGCATTGGAACTGTTCACCTAAGGTGTGATTTAGCTTTTGCCCAATCTTCTGTGGTTTGTCTCGGATGTTCAAAGAAGCTTGTTGCATTTTGCCTAGCAATCGATATTTCTTGTTGCTTTCATGCTGAAAGATAGTTGATATTGTAGAGTACACAATACACATATGAAGCACTGTTACATCAAGCAAGCCTACCCTCTCCAGCATACCATTATTTTCCAGGTTTTATGCCCTTCAAGCTTCATAAAGTGGAAGACAATAGAAAAACTAGCCCATGAGACAGATTAATGTCAAGAAATCCTAAGCCAGCTGAAAATCACCATGAAGGTGCTTAGGCAGTGCTTGTGCACCCATTGATAAAAGACTAGAAATCATGTGCATGGTTGGCCTTGATTGAGGATCAACAGTCAGACAGGCCCTTGCAAGCTTGAGAATTGATACTAGAGTCTCTTCATCTTCCTGACCGGGATACGGAAGTCGTCGGTCAAGCAAGTCTTTCAGTTGGATGTTTACAGATGTGGGCGATGTAAGGTGAGGAATGAAGTCACCAGGATGGCTCCCTTTGATTACTTCAAGGGTTAGGACCCCAAAGCTATACACATCACATTTTTCAGTTTCTCTCATTGTGTAGGCAAGCTCTGCAAGGCAAAATCATGTCATCATTAACTTTGTGATCATGCTGTAATTTACTTCTTGAATGGTTCATAAGAGAAAAAAAAAACTATATTACCTGGTGCAACATATCCATAGGTGCCTGCTACTGCACTCCAATTAGACGAGTCTATCTTCCGAAGCTTCGCCGTGCCAAAATCTGAGACATGAGCTTCATACTCTGAATCAAGCAAAACATTGTTGCTTGATATGTCTCGATGAACTATAGGCGGCGAACAATCATGATGCATGTAAGACAAAGCATGAGCAATGCCCTTAATGATTTTTATCCTTTTCTGCCAATCCAATTTCTTAGCTTCTTCTTCAATGCTCAAAAGTTTAGCCAAGCTGCCTCTTTCAAGGTACTCATAAACCAAAAACGAGTATTTAGCACTTGAGCAGTAACCCTGAAGCTTCACAATGTTTCGATGCCTGATCTTTGTCAAGGCCCTTATCTCCTTCAAGAAACCTTCTTGATCTGCAGACTCAGACAAGTGGTGGAGTCTCTTTACAGCCACTGTGTTAACTGGTGGAAAATTTGCCTTGTAAACACTTCCATGACCTCCTTTCCCTATGCAAAATGTTGGATCAAAATCCTGTGTCACTTTTAAGATGTTCTCATACATTTCTTTGCCATCAAATAGGGATATAGAGAACACATCTCCACCCTTTACATCCCCGTCTTTCACTTTTGGATCTCTCTTTCTTTTTTCGTAAAAAAAGAGAATTCCAGCATACGCAGAAAGAAGCATGAGTGCTCCCACAAGAGGGAGCGCAATTATGAGAGCAAGTTTCTGCCCATTCTCATGCTTTTTGAACAATTGAGGACTATCACACGGTCGTACCCCTGTAATGTTGCCACGCAAACCTTTATTCCCTTTAAGTTGTTCAATAGTGGCATTTGCAAATGCTTTTCCACAAGGAATTGGACCCTCTAACTCATTGAAAGATAAATCAATATGCTGAATACCAGGCAATTCTGCCAAAGCCTTTGGAATGAAACCTGAAAGGTTATTATGGGAGAGATTCAACGTTTCCAGACTTTTCAAACTTCCGAATTGAGTTGGTATCTCTCCGATGAGGGAATTGTGGCTCAAATCAAGACGGTTAAGGTGAATTAACTTACCCAACCGGGATGGAATACTGTGGCTTAAACTATTGCTGCTCAAGTTCAAAAAGGTTAGTTGCTGGCACTCTCCTATGCTTCCTGGAATCGATCCATTTAATAAGTTCACTGATAGGTCGAGAGAGAATAGATCTGTCAGTGATCCTAACTCTAGAGGTATACCACCCGAGAGTTGGTTGTCATTTAAAAGCAGCCATAGCAAGGACTTCAGCTTCCCAAGTTCCTTTGGAATCTGCCCAGCTATCTGATTTGAAGAAAGATCAAGGACGCCCAGCTTAGGCAGATTCCCAAATTCTGGAGGAATGTGACCTGTGATGCTGTTATTTGCGATTAAAAGAGTTGTCAAGTTTTTGCATCTACACCAGTTGCTTGAGAGCTCCCCAGAAAAGCTGTTGTTGCTAAGCAAGATAAATTCAAGGTGTGGATAAATACCAAACGATTCAGACAGGTCCCCAGTGAACTGGTTCCCATCAAATCGAGCTCTGACTAAACTTGCACAGTTTTTCAAACTTTCTGGAATTGGACCAGAAAGGCTGTTATTGTTGACAGTGAAGTCTCGAAGAGTTTGACTGCTACATAGCCCTTCTGGTAAATGACCGGAGAACTGATTTTCATCCATTTCCAAGACAACCAACTTTGTCAGTTTCCCTAGCTCTGGGGGAATGGAGCCAGAAAGTTGGTTATCGCGAAGAAACAGAGTTTCCAATTCTATCAAATTGCCAAGTGAAGTAGGAATCAACCCGTAAAGTTGATTCTCACTTACTTCGAATTCGACCAGAGACTTCAGGTTGCCTAACTCTTCCGGGATTGAACCAGAAAGTTGATTCCGATATAGATGCAAAAGAGTCAGATCCCTCAGGTTACCTAGTGAAGTTGGGATTGGACCAGTGAGCTTATTTCCCCATAGGCTCAGACTCTGGAGTTTTTTCAACTTTCCTATCTCAGGAGGAATGGAACCAGATAGGCCGTTTTCAAAAAGATGCAAAAGCAGTAGGTTATTCAGGTTACCAATCGAGGCTGGAATAGGGCCTGTCAGCTGGTTGTTGTCGATGTCAACCTCAACAAGATTGTTGAGGTTTCCAATTTCACGAGGAATAGAACCTGAAAGTTGATTTTCATAGAGATATAAATAATTCAAGTTTTTCAGATTGCCAAAGGAGGCAGGAATAGGGCCCGTAATGTTGTTTGTACACAAGGCAAGCTCAACGAGAGACCTTAACTGGCCAATCTCCTGAGGAATTGCGCCATTTAAGTAGTTCTCGTTCAAGTGGAGGGTTTGAAGGTTGGTTAAGAGGCCAATTTCTGGTGGGATGGTTCCAGAGAATTTATTATAGGACAAATCAAGATAACTGAGCTTCGAAAGCTTGCTTACTTGAGGAGGTACGCTGCCAGAAAGTTCATTCATGCTTAAATCAGCCTTTTCAAGATTTGGAAGAGATGAAAATGGAAAGCTGTAAAGCGTACCATTGATACTTGAATGTGTGAGGTTTAACGTGCTTACACTGCCATCAATGCACGACACACCGAACCAAGTGCAAGGGCTGACACTTGCTTTTAGATGATTACGAGTGTTTTGAAGATTCCAAGATGTTAGGAGGGTGTTGTTCAGGTTTGAAAAACTGGCTTTCCATTTCAAAAGGGCTTCAGCCTCCTCAACAGAAGCTGAAGCAAATTGGAGAGCCAAAACTGAGATAAGCAGGAGCAGAAGAAGTTCGAACGATGGGTTTTGATGATTAGCTAAAGAACCCATGATTTTTTTTTTTTTGTGATTTTTCTATGTTGAACTAAAAATGGCTTAAAGTGTACACAATTTATACTGGAGATAAAGCTACTTGGAGACCCCACCCCACCATTGCAACACTAGACTCTGAGGTCTTTCCACGGTTTCTTCCAGCCATAAAGACTGTTCAATATAACATGGACATGCTTGTCAAGTTTTAGGAGACTGGAGTCGACTTGAGTGTGTTTCACTTCTCAAGTCAAGCCAATTTGTCCTTTTAAGAAAGTCAAGCAAAAGTTCTAATTGATACCATTAATATTGGAGTCTTTGAAAGTGAAGAACAAGTAAATTGATCACTATCCAGCTAAAGAAAGAGCAATTACGATAGGTAGCGCCCTAAATATTGCTTTTTTTTGCACAGTGAGCATTAAGGTCCATCAAGAATAGCATTTCATGCCATCTTTTTTAGAGAAAAGGAAAAATTACACTTTATCCCTTGTGGTTTAGTATTTTTATATATAACCCCCTTATAGTTTCAAAAGTTATACATAACCCCTTCATGATTTGGATTAAAGTGTTAAAGTGACGGAATTTGCAATCCATAACGGAGTCATCTAAAATGTCAAAAATACCTCTATGTAAAGTTGAGAATTATTTCTTAACTACAGGGGGGTTATGTGTATATTTTTAAAACCATAAGGGGGTTATATGGTAAAGTATAAAATCATAAAGGGGTTATATGGTAAAATATAAAATTATACATGGTTAGTGTGTTATGTATATTATATTTATATATCTTGGTCATTTCAACCATTTTAATTTTTAAACAAGCATAATTTCGATATTTTAATAGGTTTCGTTATGAACGATCATTTCCGTCACTTTGACGCTTTAATTAAATCATGAGGGGATTATGTATAATTTTTGAAATCATATAAGGGTTATGTACGAAAACACTAAACCATAGGCGGATAAAGTGTAATTTGCCCTAGAGAAAAAAAATACTCTTTTTTCTCCTAATTCCTTGAGTTTATCTAAAATCTTTTTATCACTGGGTGTAAGTGGTGAAACTTCTCAAGTCAACCTGATCTTAACTCTTGATGGTTCTCGGCAATTTCCTTTAGCTCTAAATGGCTCAATAGCCAATAGGTGTAGATTTGTAATCGATGAGAAATCGGGTCCCTGAAAATGAAAATGAAAATGAAAATGGAGTTGTGTGGAACCCAAAAGACTTGGTCAGAAACATTGGCAAAAAGGCCATTTTTTCCGTCACTAAAAATGATATTTCTAACTTCATAATAAATGGAAATTAATATTCTTGACTCTTTCAACAGAAGATGCTTCTTGGTCTGTGC